GAAAACAAACAGATTCATCCTGGAAAGGGTTAAATCAAGCTACTCCTGGAAAGGGTTAAACCAAGCTACTCCTTGGAGTCAAGGATTCTGGGCTTCATCTGACGTACTTTGGGGATGTTGCAAGGAGGGACAGGTCCTTGGAGAGGGACATCATGCTTAGGAGGGTGGAGGGACGGCGCAAGAGGGGAAGACCCTCTATGAGATGGGTTGATTCAGTGACTGGGGTAATTGGGATGGGTGTGTCAGAGGGAGGCAGTGCAATTGGCACAGGATAGAGCAGGGTTTAGGGCTGTTGTACATAGGGTCCCTATGAGTCACAGATGACTCGATGGCACATAACAACAAACAACAACAACTAGGTCACCAGAGCTCCCTGTAATTAATTATATAAAATACAATGTGTATGAATGATTGTATGAAACAATGTAAATAAATGAAATACAATATAAATAAATTATTGTATGCAAACCAATAAAAAAGGAGGGGAAAATTTATTATCAAATGCTTATCTGTGTCGAAGTCTAACAATTTTCATATTTGGTGTGTTTCGTTATCAAATTTTCCAGCCCTCAGTTGTCCAAAGACTTAAAAGAGGAAATAAATTCCTATTAACGGCACATGTTTAATAGTTAACTGTGCCCTCTAGCCCACTAAACTCCAAATACACTGTAAATCCTAAACTTCTATGCCTGCAATTACTGTTGCTTTTGAGAACTGGTTGTTTCTGGTATGTTAATATAATAGTAATGGTGGTGTTACAGAACACAAGGGGTTCTTTCCATAGTCAATCACCAATAAGACAAACGGATTGCAATATCCATAAATATTCTTTATTATACAGATCTGGAAGACAGTGAGTCACTTCCAAGACTGTCTCCCCTTCTTAACAATAAACTTTTGTTAGTAAAATGAAAGAATTTCTATATCTGAAAGAAAATCATTCATACCCAGACACTCCCTTTCCAGACAAACAGGCAGATTAAGTTGCAATTTACGTATGATTGAGGAAAACAGCTTCAAAGAGGTAACAGCTAATCTAGGAGATGCATCTCCTCTTATGATTAACAGACAGATCACAGAAAGGACACTAAGAATTCCAAGGTCAAACAACAAGTCCCACAGGCTGGAGAAAACTATAGTTTTATAATTGATACCTACATAGAGAATTCTGAACTTATTAATACCACCCTGTCATTGAAGCAAAAACAGGTGGAGCTCTCAATTTAAAACAGGTTTGGACTCAGGAGTGACATCCACTTCCTAAACAACATGCCTCTGGAAACTCTATGAACTTTGTTAAATGATGATAGTTATAGAAAGTATTTAGGCCTTTGGTTCATAGGGTCGCTATGAGTCGTGCTCGACTTGATGGCAATCAACAACAACAATGAGTAATTCAGTGAATAATAATTTGCTTTGTAAGGTCAAGAACTGAAGCCTTGAATAAGGATGCTGTGAGGAGAATATTGAATGATTGAGAAAGCATTAAAAGAAGATTACTCAGGCACAGTTTTGGCAATGCAAGAATTCTGTAACAGTAACAAATTCAATAAAAGGAAATATATGGGGGAGTAAAGAAGATGGAAGTAGTATACACAGTCACTGTAACAAAAAGAATTGGTGGATGAAGACGACTTTAAAGAAAAAATATATGATCAAGAGGCAAGGTTAATGAAGTAAGAAGCTCAGGCTGCTCTGAAGGAGTTAAAAAATAAATCCCCAGGAATTGATGGAATGAATACCAATTGACATATCTCAACAAACAGATGCTGTCCTGAATGTGCTCACCAGGTTGTGTCAAGAAATCTGGAGGACAAGCTACCCGGGCAACTGACTAGATTTCCATTAGGAAAAAAAAAAGGTGATGAGATAGAGTGTGAAAATTATTGGACAATATCACTAATATCACCCAATGGCAAAATCCTGCTGAATATTGTCCAGCAAAGACTGGAACAGTTCATTGACAGAGGTCTACCAGAAATACAAGCTGGCATGAGAGACATTATCACCAATGTTAGATGGATCAAAGAGTATCAGAGGAATGTCTTTCTGTGTTTCATTGAGTGTGCAAAGGCATTTAACAGTGTGGATCCCACAAATTGTGGCTAACCTTGAGGAAAATGGGAATCCGAGAACATTAGATTGTGCTCATGTGAAACCTATACTCGGACCAGGAAGCAGTACTAAGAAGAGAGCAAGGAAACACTGCATGGTTCAAAATCAGGAAAGGAATACATCAGCGATGTATCCTGTCTCCATGCTTTTTCAATTTATATGCAAAACAGATCATTAAGGAAGCTAGGCTTTATGAGGAGAAATGTGGCATCAGGATTGGAGGAAGACTCATCAACAATATGCATTATGCAGATGACACAACCTTGCTGCTGAAACTGAGGAGGACTAGAAGTGTTTGTTGAAAAGGTTAAAGACTGTAGTCTTCAATATGGATTGAAGCTCAATATCAAGAAGCCAAGGGGCCAATTGGCAGCGCTATGATAGATGGAGAAGAGATTGAGATTGTTAAGAATTATGGCTTGCTCGGATCCACAATCAGCACTCTTTGCTCCAGCAGTCAGGAAATCCAAATATGAATTGCATTTGGAAAATCTGCTGTCAGGGACCTCTCCAGAGTAAGGAAGAGCAATGATGTCAGTCTGGAGACTAAGGTGTGCTTGATCCAGGCCATAGTCTTCCCAACTACTTGCTATGCATCAGACAGTTGGGCAATGACTAAGGATGACAGAAGAATCAATGCCTTTGAGTTGTGGTGCTGGAGAAGAGTCTTGAACATACCATGACCTGCTGAGAAAACAAATATAACTGTTTTGGAGAGGGTAAAACCAAGTTTCTTCTTGAAGCTCTGTCTCATATACTTTGGGCACGTGGCCAGGAAGGACCAGTCCTTGGAGAAGGACCTCATTATCAGAAGGGTGGAGGGACAGCACAGGAGAGGAAGACCTCAGATGAGATGGATTAATACAGTTGAAGGACCTCTGAAGTGTTAGTGACAATAAGAGGTCTGCTGTACAAAGAAATGCTCCAGGAATACTTGAAGCCCTTAAAAACGAGGGACCTTCAAGGGGTCCAGGTTGAAACAGCCTAGGTCCAGTTCTAAGAGATATTCCTTGTCAGCAGTCATCTGAGTCACTGACCCCTAAATGGTTAAGTACACCAGAGGAGTTCTTGCTAACAAGATCCTGGGATGCAGGGGTTGCAAACAGCTTTAGCACTTCCCCTGGATCTTTTTTATTTACCCATTTGCTTTCTTGAGCTAAGATAAAGAACAAAGATCCCTGAGTAGTCAAAGATAATTTACTTCAGTAAGACTGTTTACTATCATTCTGTACCTTGAAAAAACTGTACATGACTTTCTTTATGTAGTCTATGTCCGCTTCTGGAATAAAAGAGAGGAGAGGACAGCTCTGTTTGGCCATTTACCTAATAAAACCCTTGATCCTTCACTTTTTATCATTCCTCGTATTTGCCTTCTGTGACCTGTGATCATAGAACACCTGTGAACTACATACAGTGATTAGGGCAAAGGTTGTTGGTGTGTTGAAATCAGTGAGACTGGCTCAGGACAAGGCAGGCTTCAGAGTTGCTGTACAAAGTGTCGCTATGGGTCGCAGGCCACGCGATGGCACATAACAACAACAATAACTCTTATGAGAAGAAGAAATGATACCTTTGAACTGTGGTGTTGGAGAAGAGTGCTGAATATCTTATTAATTTCCAAAAGAACAAGCATATATGTCTCGGAGAGCATGCAGCCAGAGTGCTCCTTTGAAGATAAAGATAATGTAGCTTTATCTCACATACTTTGCACATGTTGCTAGGAGAGGCTATTCCTTGGAGAAGGACATCAAGTTTGGGATGATGAAGGGTCAGTGAAAGAGAGGAAGATTATCCTAAAGCAAGATGGATTAACACAGTAACTTCAGCAATAGGCTTGCATGTGTTAGAGATTGTGAGGATGTCATACAATAGGAAGGGTTCAGACCTATTGTTTCCTTTTTTTTAAGTTTTATTAGTTTTAATGAACATATTTACAGGGATTTTGGGTTTTTATTTCATTGCTGAGACCTATTGTTTCTTGATTTGTGTGAATCATTCTGCACTCAATGGCACATAACATCAACAACAGTACCTTTTAACATCAAATTGTAATATTATTTCAAATGTCCTCACAGAATTAAATAAGTCATTTGTGTATGTACACGCACAGAGAGAGACAGATATACCTCATAATAGTAAACATTATCTCAACTGTACTTGTGTTTGTGTGTATACAATATGTGTTTACAGCTAGATGAAAACTAAGTTCACCATTGAGTTAATTCCAAATTACAGAAATTTTGTAGGACACAGACAGAAACTCTAAAATTGCTCGAGAGTAAAATTTATTGTATACATGGAGGATAATGTACTTTACATTTTGTTAGAAACTGTTAACAATTTAAAACTTTTTTTACTTTTAATTCATTCAGAGGATGTTTTGGAAGTTATTGAAAATGAAGGGTATAAAATACTGATGCAAAGACAGATAGTATTATCAGAAGAAGAAGCACAAAAATTCTGCAAGGAATATGAAAATGAAAACTATTTTCAGGATCTTCTAGAAAATATGACCAGGTGAAGAGTAGTTTAGATTTAGAAATCAAAATGTTTTATATGTGAATGATTTAAAGCTTCTTTTCACCCTGTTTTCTGTTTAAGTTACTAAGCATTTCAATTCTATGAATATGTCCTGATTTTCATTTCTTAGTCAGCTTCACTCCCATCCTGATTCTCTTCTCAGAAGGTTGACTTCTCTAGAACTCCTGGAAGGTCAGTTGAATAGTAGGTAGGTCTCAAGTAAGGGAGTTCTGGTGGCCTAGTGGCAAGGAGCTGTGCTGGAATCCTGAAGGTGGTTTGAATCCACCAGCTGCTACATGGGAGAGGGATGGACTATCTCCTCCCATGTGATTAACGGTCTCTGAAAATTCTCCAGAAGATTGACTATGGGTCAGTTCTGACTTGACAGTACACTACCACCACTACCACCACCACCACCACTACCACAGCAACAACAAGTGAAGTAGCTGAAGTTCAGTTGAGTTAAAAGGTAGAAATTCAGGTTACACACCTTATAAAGTCATATAGCTGACTCTCTCTCTGTCAAGGCCTTTGGTATTTCAGAGGTTCCTAAGGATTCTAGAAGAGTCATTGAAATAGCAGCTGAGGCAGAAATCCAGCTAGGGTATATTAATATGCAGCAGCTTGGAAACAGCTGCCCTATCAGAAACATGGTCCTTCACTTTGCTTTCTTTTCCTACTACCACCCTTTTCCAAATATACTCTTACAACTATACTAGTGGAATTTCATTTTAGATCTATGACAAAAAGATTATTTTGACATATTTTGGTGGTGGTTGTTAGATGCTATGCAGTTAATACCCACTCACAGTAACTCTGTGTGCAAGAAGCCCTATGTGATCCCGTGCCATCCTCACAATGGCTGCTGTCTTGAACCCATTGCTGCAGCCACAGCGTCAAACCAAATGGGCCTTGTTCTTCCTCTTTTCTCTGATCCTATGTTTAAACAAGCATGATATCCTTTTCCAAGGACTGGCCCTTCTTGATAACATTCACAAACGATAGGAGACAGGAGTCTTTATCCTCTCCTTCAAGGAGCATTTTGGTTGTACCTCTTCCAAGAGAGATGTATTCTTTTGGTCATATTTTGGCATAGTCATTATTCCTTGTCAACATCACAGTTCAAAGGCTGTGGTTCAACTATTGTATGAACATAAGACAGTTGAAAATACCATGGCTTAACCCACGTGCACCTTAGACTTCAAAATGACGTCTTGCTCTTTAGCACTTTGAAGAGTTATTTTTCAACACATTGACTGCCACAAAACCATCATTTTATTTATTCAGTGACTCTGTAACATTTTTAGCATTTGCATTACTTATATCAAACAGCTGGACAATGAATAAGGATGACAGAACAAGAATTGATGCCTTTGAGTTATAATGTTAAAGAGTGTTGAACACACTATAAACTTCCCAGAAAACAAATGAGTTTATTCCGGAGAGGGTGAAACCAAATTTTTCCTTAGAGACAAAGATTTTGAAGATCTGTCTGACTTTGGGTATGTTGCCAGGAAGAACCTGATCTTGAAGAGGAATACTTTAAAGAATAGGGAGACACTGCAAGAGAGGAAGACCTAGGAAAATAAATGGATTGACACAGTAAAGGGGAAAAAAGGGTTATGTGTGTCAGAAACACTGAGATTCATAGGGTTGCAATGAATTGTAGGCAAATCAAAGGCACATAACAACAACATAATTAACTACTGAGCCATTTTTATATATACTTTTTATTTTCTTTTTTAACAGTGGACCATCTCTGGCCCTTGTTTTAGTGAGAGAGAATGGTTTGAAACATTGGAAACATATACTAGGACCAAATTCTGTTGAAGAAGCCAAGGAATATATTCCAGAGTGGTAAGATACACTATATTGTTTCTTAACATTATCTATGGGATCTATTTCGATTTCTTTTTGCATGTGGTAAATGTTGTTGTTAGGTGTTGCTGGTTTAAGTACAACCCTTAACAACCCTATGAATAAGAGATATGAAACCTGTCCTATCCTGTGCCATTCTCACAATTCCTGACACACTAGAGCCCATTACGACAGTCACTGTGTCGATCCACCTGGTTGAGGATTTTCCTCTCCTTAGCCAACCCCTGCCTTTCCAAGCACCGTGTCCCTCTCCAAGGAATAGCACCTCCTAGCAGTATGTCTGAAGTATGTGAGTTGAAGTTTTATCATCTTTGCCTCCAAAGAGCACTCTGGCTACACTTCTGGCAGTCCATTACATGCTCAGTACTCTTCTTCAGCACCACAGCTCAAGGGCGTCAAATCTTCTGTCATCCTTATTCATTGTCCCGCTCTCAGATGCACAGTAAGAGATTGGAAAGACTGTGGCCTGAATCACATGCACCTTAGTCCTCAAACTAACATAATTTTTTCCTTAATAATTTGGAGATGCTTCTGACTGCAGACTTTCCCAGTGCAATATCTCTTCTGATTTTCTGACTGCTAGTACCAACAGTGTCGATTGTGGATCCAAGTAAGATGAAGTTGTTGACATTTTCAGTTTTTTCTCCATGTACCATGAGGTTATTTATTGGTCCAGTGGTAAGAATGTATTTCTTGATGTTGAGATGCAATCCATATTGAAGACTGTATTCTTTGATCTTCTGCAACAGGAGCTTCTATTCATCTTCATTTTAAGCAAGCAAGGTTGTTTCATCTGTAGTATGTAGGTTATTTATGAGTCTTCAATCTTGATGCTACATTCTTTCACATAGAGTCCAACTTCTCAAATAATATGTAGTATATTCAAACCACAATTTAAATACAAAAGAGCCTTTCAGGAAAAAAGAATTTATCTGGGAAAGCAGTGCACTGATTCTGACTGGAGGTCAAATACAAGGCCAGCCAATTTGATTATGGCCAAAATTTTCAAATTATATTGCTGGGTGACTGGTTTAGGACTAGAAAGTAAATGAAGGGATTTTCAGCCAAAAGATACATCCCTTAGGAAAATATTCAGCTAACCTATTCTTCAGTACATACTCTTCTGATTAAGTTTGTGATGGCAAGTGCATGTCCTCTGAAGGTACATAACGGAGTTTGCAGACAATTATGTGCAGTCTGCCATCTGGTGGACATGTTTATTAACTTAAATTAACTCATTGGTGAATCTTTGGAGTTGGTTAAACTCACACCTGGCATATTACTTTCTATATAAAAGGTACTCTTTTAGTATCCTACGAAGTTTGCTCCAGCTAGGAGATGGAGGTCTATCTTATGCCCTTCTATGCCTTGCATCAAGCTTGTGGTTAGCATCAATCAAAATGGAATTGCAGTTTGAATTTCTTGTCTTAATTTCAGAATCCATTCCATTTAGATAGAGAAAGACATCTCCTTCAAGTGGAGAAGAAAAAATCCTGCTTTATATGGTGCAGTGAACTTCATACCTATTATATTTGTTGACACAATAAATAAAATTTACAAAGCTCTTTATATTTCTTTGAGATCATTTCTTTTCAGTAGGATTTACTTTGCTTTTGACTAATCTTGTATGGAAGGAGCTCTGGTGGCCTAGTGGGAAGAAGCTGTGCTTCAATCCTGAAGGCATGTGGATTGAATCCACTAACTGCTCAGGAGAAAGATGGACAATTTCCTTCTGTGCAGTTAAGTTATTCTGAAAACCCACTGGGGAGGGAGGGTCAGGTATGGGTCAGTTCTGACACAAGGTACAAAACAACAATTTTTTATGGACTCATTTTACTCCACATTTAGCCACTTTCAAAGATGTCTCTGATTGTAAGCCAGAGAATGAAAATTATTGCAAATAATAGTATGAATCAAATATTTTGCAAGTAGTAGAGTGAAGTGCCATAAAATTCTTAATAAAATATAACTGGATACAACTCATCACAGAAGAAAGAAAATTAACAAAGTATATGGCTACCTGCATTCTGGTCTAGAAGCTGTGGTAGGAAAGGTTGTTGTTGTTGTTAAGTGCCATTGAGTCGTAGACTACTCATAGTGATCCTATGAACAAAAGACCTGAACACTTGTATAATTTTCATCTTTTCTCCAAGTTCATAGGGTTTCTTGAGGCAAGCTATTTTGGTAGTAAATGCCACTCCTGCTTCCAAGCTTGTTTTAATCGGGGAGCAACACCAAACACTGTCCACCATGGATGACCAATATCACATTTGACACATCAGTGTCACCATGTTCAGCATCACAACCACCACCAGTTACCTCTGTACAGCACTGCACAGAGCAGTACTATACCACTTAGAAGAATGTTTGACCAAAAACAATTAAAACCATGCCTGAGGGATGCAGAGTAAAATCACCCACCTTTGGCTTGGTAGCATAACTTCTATCCACGAGGCCCACAGAGCTTTTTCTATGTTGGTGGTGGTGTTGTTAAGTGCCATCGAGTCGTAGACGACTCAGAGCGATCCTATCAACAAAAGACCTGAACGCTCGTATAACTTTCATCATAAGTCTAAAGATATTTTCTCCATGTAAAAATACTCGGTAGCTGTCTTTTCATCCCAGATAGTAAACGTTCCCGTTTCGAGCCCTTACATTGACAAAGTTGCCACAAATTCTCAACTCAGCCCAAACATTTTCTTGTGATTGGCCTTCTTTTCTCCAATTCCTTAGTTCCACCAACTTTTTGCTACTGCTTTAGAAATCACTCTATCCTCAGAGTTCTGCTTCTCTGTTACATTTGTGAATTGGACTCTATAGCCTGTAGAGTCTGTGTCTCCAGTTTGTAGAGTCTGTGTTGCTTTAATCTAAAATATGGCCATTTGCATAAAAGAGAAACACAGCAACCCATACTTCATATTTGTCCTCTTTTATCCACCCTATCCCATTCTTTTCTCCTCACTATTCCCTGTAATCCTTTTGACAGCATACCAAGGGGTTGGTTGCCGTGTCTGAAACTGAATAAAGTAAGTGCTGTTTTCACTACTATTTGTGCAAATACCTACCCCGGAAGTAACAGTTTTCAAGGCTCTTGAAATGGAAGTATCTCCATATTAGAGAGATGAGAATATCCTAGGACTGGTTGAGAAGATCATGCTGAATACAGCAAAAAAGAAATCTGAAAGGATCACTAAAGCTAGAAGAGGACAGAAGAAGGTCTTAATTATGAGGACAAACAGCTCAGATTCTGGTGATGTGAACTGATAAACAGGAAAGGTCCTAATCCTCACTGGCAGAATTTTACGGGTTAGATGCATAGGAGTAGGTTTAAATGGTAGAAAATGTAATTAGCAGGGAGCCTTTCCTCTACTAACATGCATTAAGTTGAAAAAAGATAAAGCGTGACTGTAACATAAAAATAAAACAAAAATCACAATCAACAACAATTTATTTAAGAGAGACTTTTTAAAACCCTCAAACTCCTATCAATTAATATCAACTGATAGCTACTGTCCATCAGATCTCTAAGGATATAAATTAAAACTGGAAGAAACTGCCTTTCTTTCTCCCTCGGGATTTCAAGTGTATGTGAACTGAGTAGGCTTTTTACATAAGAATATACTAAGGACTATTCCACCAGGGCTCCCAGGAGATACTTAATAATTATAATAAAAGAACCATAAACAGAGAAAACTATCTAACTAGTTACACATTATCTGGCAGTGACCTCACTAGAGTTGGTGCCACTTAGTGCAGAAGTTCATGATGTTCCCTGACTAGCACCACCACCCTCACCATGGAAAACAGCAGTGTATGCTTGTGGTGTGTACAGGTGAAATTATAGGGCTGGAAGTGTCTTTGTAATTATGTAATAGTGGCAGCTGCCATCAGAGTGCATCATTGTTGTTGTTATGTCCTGTCCAACTGAGTAAAACTCCTAACAACCCAATGAAAGGCTTCCCTGAACCTGCCCTATCCTGTGCCCTCATCATCATCTCTAAAACACTAGAGTCCATTCCTGAAGTCACAGTGTCACTCCATCTCAAAGAGGGATCTTCTTTTCCTTCACTGACCCTCTATCTTTCCAAGCATGATGCCCCTTTCAAAGGAATAGCCTCAAAATAGGTCCAAATTGTGAAGGATGAAGCTTCACCATCCTTGTCTCTAAGGAGCACTCGGGCAGCACCCTTTCCAGAACATATGTATTTGTTCTTTTGGCATCCATGTACTCTTCTCCAGCACCACAACTCAAACCGTCAATTCTTATTCTGTCATCCTTATTTATTCTCTAGCTCTCTGGTTCATAGCAAGTGATTGAGAAAACCATGGACTGAATTAGGTGCACCTTAGTCTTCAAACTGACTCAATTGCTCTTCAGCATTTTGGAGAGGTCCCTGGCAACAATTTCCCAGTGCAATATGTCTTCTGATTTCCTGACTGCTCGTACCAAGGATGTTGATTGTTGATCCAAGCAAAATGAAATAATTGAATCTTTTTTCCATCTAATATAATGTTGTCTGTTCGGCCTGTGATAAGGATCTTTGTCTTCTTGATGTTGAGATGTAATCCATACTGAAGATGGTAGTCCTTGATCTTCTGCAGCAGCATTTCATATTCTCTTCACTTTCCACCAGCAAAGTTATGGCATCAACATAACACAGGCTGTTGATGAATCCTTCAATCCTGATCTCACACTCCTCATAGAGTCTAACTTTGCAAATCATTCACTCAACATACATATTGAATAGGTATGGAAAAAAGATACAGCTCTGACACACACCCTTCCTGGTCTCAAACCATGCAATATTTCCTTGCTCTGTTTGCAGAATAGCTTCTTGGTCTAGTTATAGATTCCATACTAGCACAATTAAGTGTTATGGGATTTCAGGGTGGTTTTTTTTTTTTTCAATGTGAGCCATAATTAGTCATGATCCATGTCGTTGGTTTAAAAACCAAATTAACAAAGAGTCTTAACTTGTGTGTATTGATATGTGTAAACTATGCTTATAGAATGACAGAGATAATTATATTAAAAAAATAATGGATTTCATTCTGGACTCCTGTCATGATAATAATACCCAATCATGTTGTTGTTGTTGTTATGTGCCATCGAGTCGTTTCCGACTCATAGCGACCCTATGCACAACAGCTCTAAACCCTGCTCTATCCTGCGCCAACCGCACCGCCTCTGACACACCCATCCCGATTACCCCAGTCACCGAATCAATCCATCTCATAGAGGGTCTTCCCCTCCTGCGCTGTCCCTCCACCCTCCCAAGCATGATGTCCCTCTCCAAGGACCCGTCCCTCCTGGCAACATGTCCAAAGTATGTCAGACGAAGCCCCAGAATCCTTGTCTCCAAGGAGCAGCTTGGTTTAATCCTCTCCAAGATGGATCATATATCCCTTTAAACAGTTCTCTCCGTCATCTGTTTCAATGCAGTATACATCATTCCTCCCCTCTTTCTCTGTCTTCCCTCAGCCCTTATGTCAGTCCCGTTTAATAACAGTGGCCCTATGCAATATTTGTCCTTCTGTGACTGAGATATTTCACTCAGCATAATGTTCTCCAGGGTCATCCATTTTGCATAATATTTCATGCACAGTGGAGTGGATTTTGGGGGAGGGTTTTCATAACAATGGAAGAGTTTTACTTTTCAAAGAGAAGAGTGAAATGGTGGGGAAGGAGTGGGCAGGGAGAAAAGTGCAAAAATGAATGACTGGGAACCCTAAATCTCTGTAAACTTTCATTAAATTGATTTAAAAAATGGTGCAACAAAAAAAATCCCCCAACTTAATATTTGATTGCATATTTATAATTTTTTAGATGGTAAAAAATCAACCACACTACACCAAACAAAATTATAGATTTCTACTGGAACACTGCATAAAAATTTTAGACAATGACTTTGATGTCGCCATTTCTAACAGTGTCATTCACTGAGAAAAGTTATGAATCCCTCAATATCAATTAGTAAGTCAGTAGTACAAGAAGCGCAGTAGTTTTCCACAGCCTGTGCTTGTGTGTTATTTTACCACACAGAACATTCACTCCTTCATTTATAGTTATATGTCAGTATCCTCTATAATGATTATTTTAGTCTTCTTTTCTTCCTGATGACTAGTAACTCCTTCAAGGGAAGCACCGTGCCACTAGTCACTCTGTCATTAGCTCCTTTTTATGCAATCCCTACACCAAGAGTGAGTTGCCCTGATAGAAAACTTTCGAGCAATTTATGCAATTAGTTATGTAAGCATCTAGTCACAATAACATTTTTTTAACTTGATTTTTTTTTCTAAAAAGTTTATGTGCACGGTTTGCAAAGGGAACTTTGCCTGTCAACCAGATTTATGGAAGTAATTCACTAGAAGAAGCCAAAGAGGAAATACAGCATTTCTTTCCAACTGAGAGCACTTTTGGACTCATTAAACCTCATGTATTTTATGAAGATAAAGGTAATCTATATGAGTGACTGAATAAAATCCATTAAAATAATGAAGAAAACTTAAAAAATACAATGCACTACATATATATTACTCTTCAAAGACTTGAAAATTTTCAAACTTGAAAAGTTAGAAGAATTAGAATAGACTTTTGCTGTATTTGCTACCTCTTGTTTTCCTTCTCTTCCTCACTCCCCCCCCTTTCTCTCCTTATTCAGAAATGGGTACAGAATATTTTTTATTGTGATTTGAGGGAAAGTTTACAAAGCACATTGATTTCTCATTCATACATATTTTGTTTTATAACATTACTTCCTTGTAATTTTAATTTCTAATATAATCCTTCTATTTACCACTTCCTGCCTGCTGAACTTTCCCCTTGGGAGAATAAAACTTATTTGACCCTATAGTATTTCTTTTTCTAAAGACCGAATGTATCCCTAGTGTCACCCTGCCTATTATTTAGTTGAAAATTGAGCCAGGATGGTGAGTTTTGTTTTAGATTTAAAGCAATAGTGTTAGTGTTTCCCTCACTCTCTACCAAGTCAGTAGTGGTAAGGAATTGCATTGTCAATGCACAGGAAGGCAATTTAAATCCATCTGCTCCTGCATGAGAGCAAGATGGGCAATCTCCTCAAGTATGCTTTATTGTCTCTGAAAACTCCCTAGACGTTCACCTATTAGTTGGTTCTGATTGGATGGTACACAATCAAACCTGTGAGCCTGACTTTTTTATATTTTTTAAACTTTAACAATTTCCCCTGTCTCTATTCAGGATCTTCTACTGTGATCCTTTAGAGAGACTGGTCATCAATTTTTCTGTCATCTTTATTCGTTGTCCAGCTTTTAGATGCATAGCAAGTAAATGAAAAGACCATTAGCACATTTTAGTCTTTAAACAGACATTTTTGCTCTTTAGCAAATTGGAGAGGCCCTTGACTGCAAATGTTTCCAATGCATTGTTTTGGGGTTTTTATTTTGTTTGTTTTATTTCTTGACTGCTGGTACTAAGGGTGTTTATTGTGGATCCAAGTAAGTTGAAATCATTGACAACATCAATCATTTAGTCATCTGTCAGAATGTTACCTATTGGTATTACCATATTAAAGTTCTAAATGTTAATTTATTCTGGGGTTTTGGAGGTATTTTTAGAGTTTAATTTTTCATAGCTGCATTATTTTATGGTACAATATTGAGATAAAACTTTTACTTTCTTTCATTGTTTCAGTCTAATTTGTTGCTAATGCAGAGGTGTTCAGTTCAAATCCACCAGTTGTTCTTGTGGGAGAAAGATGGGCAATCAACTCCCATAGTGTTTACTGCCTCTGAAAACTCACTGGAGGGTCTGCTATGGGTCAGTTTTAACTTGACAGTAGACCAACAACAAAAACATTTGATTAGAGAGCAAAAGTGAGCCAACTTGTGTAATTCCCAATATTTGCTTTCTCTAGATGCTATCCTGAGGTTAATTAAGGAACATGGATTTGAGGTGACTTATCTGAAGGAAGTGGTCCTCACTCAAGAGCTGGCTGATCGTATTTATATAAGTATAAAAACAAAAGATTTTTATAAAGATGTCTTGGAAATGTTATTTGAGTAAGTTGCTAATAAGTACTTCTTTGTATTACCGAAGTTATAACGGTTTATTATAGAAACCCTAAAACGAATAAAATCATCGAAATGCTCATACATCTTTCATCCATGAAAAGACACCCTGCTAATATTTGGAGATAATTATTCTAATATCTCTCTTCTTCCCTCCATTCCTTTCTCTTCCCTCATTTCTCCCCTCCTCCTCACCTCTCTTCTCCTTGACTTTCTCAATGACATTTCTTCCCCCCCTTAATTCCCTCTTTTTTCTGTTTCTTCGTGTTATGTACCATCAAGTTAGAACTGACCATAGTTGATCCTCCATTAGATTTTCAGAGACAGTAAATTACATGGGAGAAGATTGCCTATATTTTTCCTAGGAGCAGCTGGTAGTTTCAAACTATATACCTTGAGTTGCCAGCACAATTCTATACCAAAAAGCCACTTCATATTAGGTTTAGAGGCCTTCTGGTTTAAAACCCTTTTATTATTATTATTATTATTAATTATTATTATTATTATTA